CACAGTTTTCTATTTTCTGTTAAATTGAACTCTATGCCTTGTTTTCTTTTTCCTTTCCAGATACTGCTCGAGTTACTGGTTTTCAGCGATTATCTTTTATCTGTAAGGACGCTCTATCATTCTAATCTTGACAACCACACAATATACAGGGTGTCCGTAAAGTCCCTTTAGAATTTAAAAAAAATATATTACAAAGGCAATTGATGAGATATCTTAATCAGATTTGTTCTATGTACTTAGCAGTTATCAAAGTTTTTAATCACATTGAATTTCTATATTTCAGGTATACTGTTGATGAAAGAGGTACTGTTAAGCTCTAAAATTTGGTGGATTGTAAGGGGTGGCCCTGTTCTCATGCCACCTCATTCACCACATGTCAGCCCCCTGGACTTCTTTCTATGAGGTTATGTTAAAGATATCGTGTATCGAACAATGAATGATACGGGACATCACTGATCTAAAGCAAAAGATCACTGATGTCATTGCCACCATTGATGAGGCTATGCCACAGTGACCTTGGCAAGAAATCGAATGACGTCTTCATGTGCTTGGTAAAAAACAAAAAACTTTAATATCTACTCCTCATTTTTAACAATTTCCACATTTGTCTGTTCATTTGCTTCTGTAATAGTTTTTTAAATTGTAAAGAGACTTTACGGACAACCTGTATAATCATATGTACAGTGGGTTACATAAATGTCCTAACCGTAACATATAAACACACGCATATATACAGGGTGTGCATAAAGCCTCCTTACAATTTAAAAAATATATTACGGAGGCAGTTGATGAAATATCTTAATCAGATTTGTTCTATGTGCGCAATAGTTATCAAAGTTTTTAATCACATTGCATTTCTGTATTTCCGGAATCCCGCTGATGAAAGAGGTACACTTTAATGAACCCTAAACATTTCAAGGCCGTTGGATTAGAAAGGATGGCCTAATCCCCTGGCCACCTCGTTCACCAGATATCATTCCCCTGGACGTCTATCTATGCGGTTATGCTAAAGACATTGTCTATCGATACAGAACATCACTAATCTAAAGAGAAAGATCACTGATGCCATTGCCACCATTGCTGAGGCTATGCTACAGCGAACATAACAAGAAATCGAGTACAGTCTTGATGTGTTTTGTGCAACTAAAGGTACCCATATAAAGGTGGATTAAATTAGTTAAAAAAAAAAACTTCATTATCGACACCTCATTTTGTAACAATTTCCACATAACTGTCTGATCATTTGCTTTTGCTTAATTTTTTTAAATTGTTAAGAGATTTTATAAACACCCAGTATATTCATATATACAGTGGGTCACATAAGTTTCCTAAACGTGGCAAAAATTAATTATTTTCTGAATATAATTATGGGTTAATTAACAATAACTGTTTCAAATATGATATATAAGAGATTTCCAGTGATATGGATCATAAATTTGTCAGTAAGTTAAGAAATTATTAGTAAAATATATTTTTTTGCGGGGGAGGGGGGAATAAAAATTGAGGCGTAAATTGTGTCCTCAGCATCCTTCTGTAAAACCACATCTCTTAGCTTTAATTATCTTCTTCATCTTTGACGGGATTGTCCGGCATTCACTCTCATACAGTAAGACAGATATCACGTAAGAGTTTAGTACACGTTTCTTTGTTTCTAACGAAGTTTTTCTTATCTCTTAATACTCTACTTAGCTTTTGGAAAGCATCTTTGACCATGACAATGCGTCTTCGAACAAGTCCGCTATGTTGCAAAGTGTCGGTTACGCTGACTTGCTACTTCTCAAATAGTTCCGTGGACAAATCTTGGATCATCCCGTAGTATGGCTTTAAATCAACCACGATAAGATTCGAACCCGAGTCGGAAAACGAACGTTCTAAACATTCGGCCATGCGCCTAATGTATTGCTGTATATGTACGCTTACATGCCCGTTTTCATGCGGCAATTGAAGACATCCCTTTATTGCTTGTGCATTTAAGGTACTGTTTCATGTTGGTGATGAAGCCATCGTGGTTCTAAATGTTTCGGCTATCCGGCGTTTCAAATCAGCCTTCATCAGCATTCCTCGATAGAATTTAGATATCCAACATTTTTTTAAAAATTTAAATTTGATCTTTTTAATTTGAAATCGATCTTTTTTAATTTGAAGTCGATTTTTTTAATAATTTGAAGTTCAGCTCTTTAAAGGTGTAGATGTCAACTTATTATCTCTCGCCACTTGAAGTTTTACGCAGATAAAACAACGTGTTGTTCACGTAAGTATACTGAAATATAACATATATGTTTCATTCTATTTCAGGACTCTCTCTCTCTCTCTCTCTCTCTCTCTCTCTCTCTCTCTCTCTCTATCTCTGATTTATTTTGTGTAAAACCACCGAGCCGAGTCCCATCTTCTTTGATACAATAATTTTTTTCTACACATTGTCCTTTGACCAAACAATGAATCCAAAGGCCCAGTTAACCCGACTCTTACTATCTATTATCTTCGTAGCAATATATAAAAACTGGAAAAATTCCTAAATCCTGTGAAAACTGATATTTATTCACAGAAAAATATAAAATACTTGTCAGACTCAATCATGACAGCGTATATATATATATATATATATATATATATATATATATATATATAAACCTAGTGAGCCAGACAAACCTACCCAGGTTTCACTTAAGCAGATCTTCAGGGAAAGTTGGCTAAAGAGGCAAAAGAGAAACAGCATATTTATAGGCGATAATCAAAATCATACCACGTGACCAAAGAAAAAGTAAAAGAAGACAAAACACAAGAAAAAAACAACACCGGGTTGGTTAAAGATTTATTCAAATGACTAAAAGGGATGGAATAATTAAAACACGAACAATAAAGGAGGAATGACAATGCTCTACGGTTGAATTGAGCTCTTTTTAGTTGTTTACTCGTGTCGGGTTTTTTTATTTGGGCTTCAAACCTGCATCTGTGCGATTTTTTTTCGGCAGACTTTCATGTTTCTAGCTCTTTCTTTTTTAAAACCTTTTTTTTTCCTTCGGGATTGATTTTATTATTGGCAAATCAAAAATTCGAAGGTTTTCAGAAACGAGTATAGTTGCCTATATATATATATATATATATATATATATATATATATATATATATATATATATATATAATGAAATGGACAAAGTCCGACAATTATTTAAAGATATTTTTATGTTTAACATTCTTTTTATAGTACAAGAGCATATATATGAACAGAGCATTTACTTAAAAACTTGTATCTATAAAAAGAATGTTAAACATAAAAATATCTATCTATCTATCTATCTATCTATCTATATCTATATATATATATATATATATATATATATATATATATAGTAAAGGTAACGAATCCGTTGGTATATAATCTAATTGGATCCTAGTAGTATAAATTATTAAAACTGATGAATAAAAGAGCTCAATGTATTTATTATTACAGAGCAAATAATTAATAAACAGTAAAATCCAAAATCACCTCATATGGAGAATAGCCTGTTTCGGCAGACGAAGATATCGGTCGTCTATCTTATCAACCCCGGTGTGGACTGAGCTCGTGTCAGAAATATAAATTTAACCGTGAAAGCTAAAGAAAAAAAAAAAAGAAAAAAATGTTTCAGTCAAACGAAAGGCAAGAGATAAGGGTTAGTGGAGGGTGGGAGGTATTTGTCTTAAAAGAAAAAAATGGCTCGGAATTGGAAATCTGAGAGCCGAGTTCCAATTCCAGTTGGGTTCGCAACTACTCCTAGATTTATATATTTGGGATAGGTATGTATCCACCCCTTTAACTAGTGAAAATTGTACCAGTTTATCATTATCATTCTTAAAAAAATACATTAGTATCCCACCAACACACACCAAAAAATATAATCTAAACTTATTTCCTGAGCAAGGTTGATAAGCTGTAAAAATCAAATCAATCAATCAATTTAGATTTAAGGCCAATTTAGAAATCAAAATCAAAGTCAGAATTTATAATTGGGCGGAGATCCTGGCTGTCAACATAACAGATTTTCATATAATTATTCGTCAGGCTTTATTACGTCTGTTGTCATTCAAATGAATGAACTAATAACGAAAGTAAATAAAATGTCGTTACATTAGTTAAAGGCGTAGCAAAACGACCATTTTTTTGTCAGTGGAAAGTAGGTTAGACATGTTTGCTTCGTAATAGTAAATTAATCTATCTATCTATCTATCTATCTATCTATCTATCTATCTATCTATCTATCTATCTCTGTTCATATATATCTATTTATCTATGAAAGCCTATTCATTTCTATCTATTTGTCAATCTAAGTCTGAATCATATCTATCTATCTATCTATCTATTAGGTCTTTCCTTATCTATCTATCTATCTATCTATCTATCTATCTATCTATCTATGTATTAGGTCGTTCCTTATCTATCTATCTATCTATCTATCTATCTATCTCTTTCTGTTCATATATATTTATTTATCTATGAAAGACTATTCATTTCTATCTATTTGTCAAACTTAGTCTGAAACATATCTATCTATCTATCTATCTATCTATCTATCTTTTCCATACATTATTCGAAGATTATTCTCATCTTTGCTTTTTCTCATACAGCGTTTCATTAAACATGTTCTATCTTTTCAAATTTATTCTAAAGCTGGTAATCCTTCAATATATATATATATATATATATATATATATATATATATATATATATATATATATATATATATATATATATCCTGGGTGTATCATCAAAATTGTCAAAATGGTGTAACAGCATGGGATAATTATCCACCCTAGAAAATGTTTAATATCTAAAGTAATTGAGTTTCTTTTTCTCAAGTTTTCAGTTATATAAGCCGTTTAGACATCTTGACACCATTTGTCGTAAGGATCACGTAAAAACCCTTTGAGTCATTCAGATAGTAATCGAAGAGGTTAAAAGCGTTTCGTGTGAACCCCATTGTCTTCTCAACTGAGAAATAGTGAGAGGAAAACGATCATCCAGGCTTTCAGTAATGGTATTCTGGCTTCCATTCAAAAACGATCAAGAAAACAGTGAATAAGTTTAAATCTAAGGGAATAGTAGAGAGGAAAACTGGATCAAGAAGTTACAAGAGGAAAAGGGAAGAACACTTCAACTTAGAGCGAAAGAGATCAATGAGAAAAGATCCAAATAAATCTATTACAGTCCAAAGAGCAGTGAAAAAACTTGAAAATGAAATCGTACGTTACTCCAGGACAGAAAGTTAGAAGATTAAAGAGGGCAAAGATCACCTGGAATAATATATATATATATATATATATATTACGATTATGTGTTAATATATATATATATATTATTTATATATAATATATATGTTATATATAAGATATATAATATAAAATATATGTATATTATATATATATATAGTATAAATATTATATATATAATATATATATTATATAATATACATATTATATATATAATATATATATATTTATAATATATATATTATATATAATATATATATATATATATATATATATATATTATATAAATATATAATATATATTTATATATATATAATATATTATATGTTACTAGATATATATATATATATATATATATATATATATATATATATATATATATATATATATATATATATATTACAAACGTTAGCTATTCAACTAGAAAGAGTACCGGTTAAAAATCGTTCTGTGTCTTCCCAACTAGGCAATGCTCAGAGGAAAAAGGTCATTCAAGCCTTTAGAAATAATACCAACATTCATACTCTGGCTTCCATCAAGAACCATCAAGAGACTGGTGAATAAGTTTAAAATAAAAGGAACAGGAAAGAGAGAAAAACTGGATCAGGAGGTCACAACGGAAGAGGGGTCGTCATTTCAGCTAAATACATTGATCTTGTTCAATGTAGAGTCGAATAGTGTTATAAAAATATCGGAGAATTTCAGCAAGATATCTTTAATCATTTCTAAGATACAATGGTTCAAAGCTTAATCTACGAATTTGCTGTTACCCGATTTGGACAATTTTGGTGTTACCCTCGGTACAATGGCCGGCTACTCTCGTTTTCCGAGCACAATCCTTGCTGCAGACACCTGATAAAGCAAATTTGTGTTTGATTAACATCCAAAGAGCCACCTTATATAATGCGCCTATGCAGAACGGATATTATTTACAGTTTCTAAGGAGAATATATATATATATATATATATATATATATATATATATATATATATATATATAATGAACTCTCCCGTCGGTTTCGTCGTATGAGGATCTGATAACTTAACCAATTGATTCAGTTATGACTTTTGTGCGATAATTTTAAGTGCCACTTAAGACCCGCAAATTATTTGCAAAGGAAGTCGCATATGGAGCAAGAGTGAGGACTGTGGGATGCGGTAACTGTTAGATTGGCTAACCTTATAGATCTTGATCTCGCTTCTTGAAGACGATTCAGACTAGTAGATTGAGAACCGCTGAGTCCACTAAAACACGTTGATTTCCATTAAACCGCCATAAACCCCACACAAGTGATTTGATTAAAGTGGGGAAGACTCGTGCAGAACCATCCACACTTTTCGGAACTCTTGATACACACGGTCGGTGCAAATAAATGCCTCAGACAAAGCAAATAATAGACCTCAGGCATTTCGTATAAGAGTCTTTCATCTCCTAGACCAGTCGTGTTCTATAACATTAAAGGCACTATTATACCCCTTTCTTCCATTAATTAGGATACTAAGAAACTTGTTCGTAATTATAAGAGGATCCTATTAAAAATAAGTAGACAAAGCTTGACTAAATTATTTAATGTGTCATGTCTTAATGAAAGTAAGCTGGCAAAATACAAGCAATATATATATATATATATGGCCTGACGATTGCGTCTAGCATGAAACAGCCTGTCGCCTCTAAGTGTTGACTTCTATGTTCCTTTTATATTTACACACGCTCTATCTCTGATATTTGCACTTTATCCCATAAATATAGCACACCTTAAGAGTATATTTTTTTATATATATATATATATATATATATATATATATATATATATATATATATACTCGACTCTCACGTCGAATTCGATGTATGAGGGTCAAGCAGATCAGTTCCTAGGAAACCGACAGCCCGACAACAGCACATGAGATTTGATTATTGTGGTGAAGGTTTCGTGCAGTGCTGAATACAGAGACCTGGTTTTACATGCCAAAGGTCCCCAAACGATCTAACATTTTTTTTTCTTTTCGGATGATAAATTATATAAGAACTGTTCGAATGTTCTTTTATTCCGAGTGCTTTCGCCTATACAGTTGAACATGGACACAATGTCTTGACCGTGTTTTGAAAAATTAAAACATTTTATAAAACATACATACAACAAACTATTTCTTATTTAACAGTTAAAATATTTAATCCTTGAAAATGGCTAAATGTATAGCCGAAAGCATAATTCGAATAAAGAACATTAAAACATTTTGTGGACAGTTTTTTATATAATTTATCTCTTTTTGTTTTTTCTGAAAAAAAACAGGAGAAATTGTATAAAAAACTAAATAAAAACAGCTTGTGTGTCGATGTTTACATTGTGTCCATGTTCAAAGTAAATATTATTAAGTCTTGCTTTTTTTGTTTTTATTAATAAAGCTTCCATTATTTTTAGCCTTTGTTTGCATGTAGATGATGCTATTATATTAGTGTTGTCAATAAGTATGTTACAAATAGGGTCTGGTAGATCTCCATGAATATTTAAATGAGATCTAATTGATCTACTGTCAGAAAGGTGTAGTGTGAGTCTGCGTGTCAAACATGTTGTAGTGCGGCCTATATAATTATTTACGATTCCTGTCTAATTTGAACATGGAAGAATGATTGATCAGGAAAAATACAATTCCTTAATGGAAATTTTAAATTCGTAATTTTCTTGGGACAAAGAACATTCGGACAGTTTTTATATAATTTTCATCGAAAAGGAAAAAAACATATTAGATCTAATCTTCATTTTGTATAAAAAACTAAATAAAAAGCACCTTGTCTGTGGACTTTTTGTTTCATTTTATTCAAATCTTTTCTAGTTGCTCCTTAAATACACAAATTCTATATATATATATATTATATATATATATATATTTATATAAGAAGAAATATCTCTTAAGGTGTGCTATATTTGTAAATTTATATACTTTTCTTCCTTATATCTTTTATATAATTTGTTGTGTGCGTGTGTTGTGTGTGTGTAGGCGTATCTCTTTATTTTAGATTTATTTCCTTTTTTCGAATATCCGAACGTATTTTCTTTTTCGTCTTCTTTTTATCTCCATTCATCTTCGACTTCGATTCCTGGTTTTTTTTGAAGACCGATTAATCTTGACACTTTATTTGAAAATATATCCGCAGGAAAATTCTTTTTATCAACGTTCAAATTTGATCCATTTTTTTTTTTGTTTCTTTCTTTTTTTTGTTTTCGATAGCCAATTTCTTTCATTTATTTTCTTCTTTCCCTTCTCCTTCATATATTTTCTCTTTGTTTTTTTTCTCCTCATTGTTTTTTCCTTTCTTTTCTAATTCTTTCATTTTACCCATTTTATTTTTAAGGTTTTCTTTTCTTTTGGTTTCTTTACTTTTCTTTTGTTTTCATTTATTCTTTCTTTTTTCCTGCTTCTTATTTCTTTATTAGTTTCGTTATTTCTTACATTTTACATTCATAGATTCTTTATTTACTTGCCATATCTTAGTTTGATTAATTCTTTCTTTATCATTTCTTCTTTTCTTCCTTTCTTCTTTTATTTACCATTTCTTTGGGGTTTTTTTCTGTTGCTATCTCTTTCTTCCGTTTCTTCCTTTTTTTCATTCCTCTTTACTTTTTCGTCTTCTTTTTTATCTGTTTATTCTACCTTTGTTTTTTTTTTGTTCTTGTTAATCTTCCTTTTTGTTTGTTGCTATATTTTCTTTAATTCTTTCTTGCATTTTTCTTTCTTCCTTTTTCCTGATTCTTTCTTTCTTTTTTTTTTCGATTCCCAGCATTTCTTTCTTTATTTTTCTTCTTTCCTTCTTTATCGTTTTATTCTTTGTTTTTTATTCTCATCATTCTTTTCATTTATTTACTGCATATTATTTCGTTTTTATCCATTCATATTTTTTCATTCTTTTTCTTTCTTTCTTTCTTTCTTTCTTTCTTTCTTTCTTTCTTTCTTTCTTTCTTTCTTTCTTTCTTCTGTTATTTGGCATTTCTTTCTTTCTTTCTTTTTCTTTATTCATCTTTTCTACCTATTTTTTTTTCTTTCGTCTTTCTTTCTTTTTTTCTTTTCGTTTTCTTTCTTTCATTTATTTTTCTTTCTTCTTTTTTAGCATTTTCTTTCTTTTCCGTATTTCTTTATTTTTCTTCCCTTTTTTTTCTGTTTATTCTGTGTTTGTTTTTATTCTCATCATTCTTTTTTATTTATTTATCATATATTGCTTATTTCGTTTTTTGTTTGTTCTAATTTTCTACTTTCGTTCTTTCTTTGCTTTTCAACCAATAAATTCTTCCTTTAGAAAAGAAAAAACACCTAGAATTGATTCTTCATGAATTGAATTTTAGGATTGATAACTCATTAGATTCTTTGAATTTCCTTAGATAGATAGATAGATTCTCAGACTTCTTTCCCTCTTTATTCATTAAGACAGACTTTGATAGATAGATGCCTAGATAGCCATCTTTAGATAGATTGAATGAATAGAGATTTTCTTTTCGTTATTTCTTTTAAATTCTCATTAGATATAATTTAATTTCTTCTTTTTTTTCTTAAATAACAACGAATTTTCATTCCTTCATATTTATATTTTATATATCATCTTATATATACCTATCCGTTTATTTTTTATTTATATATTCTTTAAATTTTATATATTTATATTTTATATATATGGATCATATATTTTAGATAGATTTTTGATTTCATTCTATTTGAATATTTATTTATTTTTCTTCCCGTTTTTTATATATTTGTTGTTTTGTTTCAATTTATTACTTTATATACATTTTATATTCCTTATATATTTTTTTCCTGCGTTTTGTTTGCTGGTTGACAAACATGAGTAGGGCGATATATATGGCCTCAATTCACATTTAACAACAGGGAAAATGAAAATATTATAATAAATACAATGAAATAAATAAAATGAAACACTGGAAATAAAGAAAAGAAAACACGCAAATAAAATGAGATAGATAGATAGATAGATAGATAGATATGAACAGACTAGGATAGGATGAATGCGATGGATAAACAGATGAATCAATTCTTACATAAAGGATAGATAGATAATTAGATAGATAGATAGATATCTCTCAGACTGAGATCTCTAAATCTCTCTCTCTCTCTCTCTATATAGATAGATAGATAGATATATATAGATAGATAGATAGATAGATAGTGGGGAAAACAAATATTCATGAATGTGAAGAACTTTTGAATTTAATTATTTCCAACTATATGAATAGATATAATTTAAGTATAATTAACTGGAAATAAATTCATAACAACAAAATATGCTGATAAAAACAGAAAAATATATATTTATATATAATTAAATACACACATATTTATATATATATAATTCATGAAAAAGTATTTATACAATATATATATATATATTTATGCTTTAATAGATAGATGGTTCTAAGTGTATATATATATATATTATATATAGTTATTTTAGCCTCACATACAAAACGCACACATTCATTTATTATATATTTCCATAATTATGTGTGTATATATATACATATATATATATATATATATATATATATATATATATATATATATACATGGTGTGTGATAGATAGTGTGTATATATATATATATATACACAGAAGTTAATAACATACAAAAATAGATGAATACACACACACATATACATATATATATGTCTGGACAAGCATATTTAAGACAGATAGATAAAAATAAATGCAGATAGATGGGGGAGGGAGAGGAAGGAATAAATAAATTAGAGAAAGATGAATGAATGAATGATAGACAGATAGACGACAGATAGATTAAAAAGACGGATGAATGGATAGATGGATTGGGCTTACACTTATAGATAAGTATGAGAAGATTAAGTCACATACATATCTCTCTCTTTATATATATATATATATTTATATATTATATTATATATATATATATATGTACCTTCTATTCAGAAAACAAATATTTCTCACATACAAACTTTTAATTCCTTGTTTTCCAACTAATGAACTACATAATTTTCGTATAATTAATGAAAAATTCATAATAACAAAATCTTAAAAACAGAAAAAATGATTCATATAATTCAATCCTTTCCCCATATATAATTATAAAAAAGTATTTATACAATACAAATTTCCGATTTAAAACTATATTTAATAACCTGAATTTATAGTTGTTCAACAATATTAAAAGTGTATATTTTAAAACAAAATTACAGCACAAACGTTTTTATTTGATAAATTTGTAAAGATTATACATAAAATATATATATTATATATATATTTTATATATAATAATATATATATATATGTATACATGTGTGTGTGTGTGTCCGTGTGTATACATATATATATATAGAAAACATTAATAACGAGTGAATAGAAAAAATAGAGATATGAACGGATAGTAACACACACCAAACATATTTATAGATAGATAGATAGATAGATGAATATAGATTCCTCAGACCAAGGAGAGGAAGGAATAAATAGAGCGAGAGATAGATAGCTAGATAGATTAATGAATGTGAACACGTATGATTAAAAAATACTCGATAGATAGATAGATGAATATTTAACATGATAGAATAAGTTTAACATCAAGTCAAAACATAAAATAAATTTTAATTCATTTTAATTTGGTAAAATGTAATCCACTCTTTTTCAACAAGATCTTTCTCGAGCTTCCCACTGAACTCACTTCCGTTTACTTGTGTGTAATAAATACAATCTTCAAAATAAAATTTAAAAAAAAACTCGCCATCTTTTGTCTTCTTGAAGCTCGTTCATCTTTTTCTCCCTGATATATATATATATATATATATATATATATATATATATATATATATATATATATATATATATATATGTGTGTGTATAGCAGTTATAGTTATTCAACAATATAAATATATATATATTAAATATATATATATAAACCACAAACGTTTTGGTTGAATTGTGGATTAATTCAAAATATATATTGCTTTATTTTCCATATAATAAAGATATGGGGGAGAGAAGAAGATATCATACATTTACGCTAACAAAAAGAAATGGCAACCTACGAAAAATGGGGAATAGACCTAAGAACTCGTCAGGTGTCATTAAAAGATAGATCGCTAAGCGTATATTTTCCTCACATATCAGACCAATCTTAAATGAAAAATTACCCCTTCTATCACAATGACTTTACAGTTTGTCTAAAAACGACATCATTATGTAGACCACTAAAGACACATATTTAACATCGAGAATGTTTAACGGCAGAAAAAATAGAAAAATTAATTCCTTTAATAATATGTTTCACGATTATAAAACACGTGTTGTAATAATGAAAATAGAACCAAAATAAAACTAAAAAATATATATATATTATTTTATATATATATATATATATATATATATATATATATTATATATAAATAATATATATATGTGCCTGTTGTTTAATATCATTAATTTACTGTATATATATATATATATATATATATATATATATATATATATATAATGAATATAAATCCAATCGAATATATATATATATATATATATATATATATATTATTCAGGTGATCTTTGTCTGCCTCGTCAGTCAAAATCAAAATGTTTATAATCTTTAAGTTTTCTGTCCTAGAGTCACGTACGATTTCATTTTCAAAAAAGTTTTTCACGGTTCTTTGGACTGTCAATAAGTGAAACAGTAAATTATATGCCAAAATTGTTTTAATGTGTTATGGATTTAGCATATCTTTGGATCTTTTCTCAAAACAATGCTGATCTCTTCAAGCATATATATATATATCTAATATTGAAATGATTTAAATCCTAATTCCTCTTATAACAAATATATAGAAAATTCAAAAACAAATATATTTATAAAATTATCAGATTGTGATTTATATTAATCCACTTTTCCTCCTACTCTTCCAGTTTTTTAAGATTTAAATATATATTCACCGTGTTTTCTCTTGATCGTTTTGAATGGACATTGAAGATGGATGCCAGTCAAATATGGATGTTGTTGAACCGTTGTATCTTAGAAAGCCTGTATGATTTTTTCTCATCAATTGGATTTCATTCATTGCTCATTAAGAATGAGAAGACTTAACAGTGATCTTTCCTCATCATTGTCTGACACGAAAAAACGTATAAATAATTAATCATAGTGGGTCATGGAAATATTTAAATGAAATTCTTCAGAAAACGATTGTAAACTGATTTCTAACTCTTTTTAGCTGAACAACTCAAAGGGTTTTTCAGTTCTTTGGATTCTTACGACAAATGGTGTCAAGATGTCTTTTCACTCTAAACGTCTTATCTGAAAAAACCTGGAAAAAAATAAACTCAATTTGTTTAGTGTTCTTTTTTTTTAGACATTAAACATTTGTAGGATGGGCTAATTTGGACTATTTTGTTCTGTTAGACCTGGATATTTGGATATATATATATATATATATATATATATATATATATATATATATATATTGTGTGTGTGTTTGAAAGTAATACGGCACTGCTGCATTTTAATCCAACAGATGGGTATAATATTGTCTTCGAGCGCTAGAGAACCATATCGAAAATATAGAAACGATCTCGAAGCGCTTTTAACCCGCATTCCATAAAACCTACCGTTCATGGACGTCGTCTTAATCACTTCGGCTACAGAAACTGAATTGGCTACGTTGAACTTGTTGCCATTCTGTCAAGCTGCTTCCGCTAAATAATAAGGTATTTTTTTCTGGTAACCACAGCACTATTTCTTTTAGGTTGTCTAATATTATTAAACTAAAGAGTCCCTCAAGGTAGAGGGCTACTACTAAATGAGGTTGTTGTAAGGGCATAAGAAAAGGAAGTAAGAAGTGCAGATGAGGTCACGTAGGAAACATGTTGACCCTTGATTTTAAGAGCATAGTAATTGGGAAAGAATAGTCTCGGAAAGGTATTCCACGGTGTAACAGGATGAAGATGTTTGGGTGGAACTTCTTCCTTATCAATGGAATACAAGAAAAAGTAAGTATATGTTGAACATATATACGAGGCATAGCAGGTCCTAGATATAAAAGTCTGGATTAGAGGAATTTCGCTTGTCTGAATGTAACTGTCGAACGGGTTGAAAGAGATGGAGTAAGAAATGCATATAAGATGTTAGCATCCTCTTATGAGTTTGTTCCACAAAGTAACAGTTCTGGAACAGAAGCTGTCTAACTGGAACGTCCTTCTTGCTAATCGAATATAAATGGAATGATGATGACCTGGTGTACGTGGAGTGGCGGATTCGAGCTGTGAAGGTCTGAACTAAGGAATGTAGCGCTTCTGAACATTTGCCATGGAAATAGCGATAGTGTAGCAAGAGGCGTAGTTGTGAAGGTCTGAACTGGTGGAACGAAGGAATGTACCTCATGTGAACATTTCCTATGAATATAGCGATTGACTAGTGAGAGGCTAGCGTTTTGGCCGTGGGAAAGGGATTGCAGGGTGGAAAATAATTAATCACCCACAAGGCCGCGTAAACGATTTTGAAGTTCTTCAACGCTGAAAAGTTGTTGTAGGAAAGCATGCTTCTGCCGCGTTGGAATTTGAAAACTATCTGAGATTTAGCATCAGGAGTTGACATTTTCACACAAAGAATTCGTTCGAAGCCATTGCTTTTAAATCCAACATTTCAGATCGATACATCCTTTGATTGCTAGGAACCGGAAATAATTAAAGGAGACTGATGAAGCTAGAACCCACACTCAACATCTCGAAAGGTCGTTACTTCTGATTGATTGATTTTTTTAACGGCTTATCGACCCTTAGGTTATTTAAAGCCAGATAATATTTTTTAGATTATAACAAGTTTCTTATTTTTTTAGAAACAATAATGGTTTTAGCGATACAAGTCCTAATAATTAACCCATAGCTTGGGGGAGAAGAGATAGATTCATACTTTTCCAAGGGTATTTGCTCGTAAGTAAATATAACGAACCAGACTGGAATTGGAACACCGCTCTCCGAATAACAATAACGTGCTATTATCCCTTGCACCAACGGCACATCAAAGCTTACAGCACTTGGTATTCCCAAGTGGTCACCCGTCTTTGTATTGTCCAGCCTCGACGTTGCTTAACTTCGGTGATCGGGTTAGAACCGATGTGTCAACGGGATATAGTTATAAGACGTGATATGGTTATAAGCCATACCACCCGCACATCGAAGCTTACAACACCTGGTATTCACAAGTGGTCACCCATCTAGGTACTGACCAGGCTCGACGTTGCTTAACTTCAGTGATCGTACGGGAACTGCTGTTTCAATGTGATTTGGCCGTAAGCCATCGGGTGCCTATGGGTGCCGTGTTAATCCGTTCGGCTAAGGACGCTCAAGACGACCTTCGTGACGACAAATCTGTAGTTATTTTATCAGTTGTCGCTGAAATGATAGTGAAAATATTTCATGTAAAATTTAAAAAAAAAAAATCATCTTGACTTTTCATTGGTGTCGTACTAAAATTCAAACAAAGATTCTTTTATTTCAGAGTTCAGCACAGACTCTTTAGACTTTGACGAAAAAAAAATACTAAAAAAAAAAAATACTTGGTCTGGAGGAGACGTAAACGAAAAAAAAAAATGTCGCACTAACAAAAAAGGAATTTATATAATTGTGCACTTAGGCGAATGAGGTGAATTCGCTAAAAGGTGATTTGCTTTTTGATTATGAGTTCAACTGAGCCCATTAAAAAGTGCAGTGGGTGGCTTGGCTGGGGGTCGGGGTTGGCGGTGATATTCGCTTGTTTGTTCGGCCAAATCTCAAGTTCACCGAGATTTATAAGGAAAAATCCATGTTTTCATTTAGCATCCTGTGTTTACGAAGAGCCCCCAATGCATAAATATAGAAATTATGTCAGTTGACCAGAAGTGATAACAGAAGGTAAAAGAATAAGGAGAGAAAGAAGAAGAAAAAAAAAGAAAGAAAGAAAAGGACTAAAGGTAAAAAGAAGGGAAAAGAGATGAAAGGGTGAGTTTGTTTATTTTGTTTTGTTTTACGGCATATTAGCATCAATGGTTATTTAATGCCGTCAAGATTTTTAAAGTTGGTAATATTTTTGTTCAAAAATGTATTGCTGGTAATATTTTTGTTCAAAAATGTATTGCTGGTAATATTTTTTTTCAAAAATTTATTGCTGGTAATATTTTTTTTCCTTCAAAATTTTATTGGTGGTAATATTTTCAAAAATGTATTGCTGGTAATAATGTATTGCAGGTAATAACTTTTTTTCTTTAAAACTGTATTGCTAGTATTAAAACCTATTTTTACACTTTCAATGCCTTTTGACACCAGTTTCGGGGTTAACTACTTGCCCATAGCTGGGACCCTAACAGGTGCTACCACACCGGTTGAAGGTGGACTTGGGAACACCAGCAATTAAGAGGTCGTTCCATGCTCCTCAAACCCTCCTGATCAGAGGCCTCGATGTTGGATGTAGTTGATCGTCATACCAAGGACGCCGATGTAGTTTATCGTCTTACCCAGGACGCAGATGTAGTTTATCGTCTTAGCCAGGACGCAGATGTAGTTTATCGTCTTACCCAGGATGCGGATGTTTTTTATCGTTTTAACCAGGACACCGATGTAGTTTATCGTCTTAACCAGGACGCCGATGTAGTTTATCTTCTTACCCAGGACGCGGATGCAGTTTATCGTCTTACCCAGGACGCGGATGGAGTTTATCGTCTTACCGAGGACTAAGACGTTGTTTATCGTCTTAGCCAGGACGCCGATGTAGTTTATCGTCTTGGCCAGGACGCAGATGTAGTTTATCGTCTTACCCAGGACGCGGATGTAGTTTATCGTCTTATCGAGGATTAGGACGTAGTTTATCGTCTTACCCAGGACGCCGATGTAGTTTATCGTCTTAGCCAGGACGCAGATGTAGTTTATCGTCTTACCCAGGACGCCGATGTAGTTTATCGTCTTACCCAGAATGCGGATATTGTTTACCATTTTAACCAGGATGCGGATGTAGTTTATCGTCTTACCCAGGGCGCCGATGTAGTTTATCGTCTTACCCAGGACGCTGAAAATGTAAGAATAAACAGAAAAACGATGATAAAAGAAGAAATCGAATAGGATTAGGTTTAGAAGTTGGAAATTAAAGAAAAGGAAGAAAAGAGAGATTAAATGATATAAAAAAATGAAGAAAGTTATACAATACTAAAGAAGAAGAAGATGATGATGATGATGATGATGATGATGATGATGAACAAGAAAGTAAAAGAAAAAGAAGTTGGTACAAAGAAAAAGATCGAGAGAAAGAAGGAAAGCAGGAGAAGGAAGATAAAAGAAGTCCGAAATATAAAAAAAAAAAAGGTGAGGAGGAGGAAATAGAAAGAAGACAAAAAAAATGAGGGGAGGTTAAAGAGAATGGGAGATGAAAAGATAAAAAAAAGGGAGAATGAGAATGCTAAAGAAGAAGAGAGAAAGTAAGAGAGAAAGAAAGAGAGGAAGAAAGAAACAAACAAAGAAAGAAAAAGAGGAAAACTGAAGAAAAAAAAGGAAAGAAGGTGAAAGGGTAAGAATAGAACAGAAAAAATAAAAGAAGTCTGAAATGAAAAAAAAGGTAGAGAAGAAGAAATCGAAGAGGAGAAAAAAAGGAAAGGCAAATGAAACGATAAAAAGAAAAGGAAGAAAGATACATAATACTAAAGAAGAAGAAGAAGAAGAATAAAGAAAGAAAGTGTTGTAACCTAGAAAAGGTTACTGAGAGAGGAATAACCAAAACGGAGGTTGGAAATGAAATAGTAATCTTTATAACATCAGCAAAGTACAATACTCGCCAGCGGCGTGAATAGGTAACCACTGCTAGTGGTGGACTACATAGACACCATATTACCCCCACTTACAATAGTGTCCAACTTATTTATGAAGATTGGAACATATACATTAGTATTCATAGGTACGGTATATAACAGAAAGAAAGAAAGAAAGAAAGAAAGAAAGAAAGAAAGATGAAGACCAAAGAGAAGAAGAAGAGGAAGGCGATCAAAGGGTAGGAGTAGAGGAGAAGGAGGAATATAAAAGTAGTCTGAAACGAAAAGGGGAAAAGAAAGCGAAAGAGGAAAGAAGACAAAATAAGTGTGTATGATAAAGAGAAGAAAAAAAAAGGCAAATGAAATGATAAAAAAGAAAAGGAAGAAAGATACATAATGCTAACGAAGAAGAAAGAAAGGAAGAAAAAGATGAAAACAAAAGGGAAAACGTAGAGTCAGTTGTGTGTCTGTCTGCGGACAGCATGCAACTCACTTGAGTCTGTCTATGGACAGAGCACAACTCACTCGAGACATTTTTCTACGGACAGTGCGCAAATGAAAATATTGAGAGATGTCCAGTCTCGAGAAACATCTGCCCCCCCGCGGCAGTATCTCCTTCATTGCCCTAAAGACGGGCTATCAATAGTAATACCGATGCCAACGCACCTGCGGGGGCTGGTCTATTTTGGACGCTAGCCCGGATATACACGTGCTCGGGCTCACCACATTAAACTGACCTTGTGTTCTGACAGCGTGGGGTCACCAGAAAATACAATTGTTTCTCGGGTTTGGGCTAAAATCAAAGTGAAGTATCTGTTCTGATCAGCTTACTCTGATTCTCTCTCTCTCTCTCCACTTCTAGCTTCCATTCTTTCACTGAAACCAAGTAGTGTCTTTCCCCCTCTTTCCACGCGATCAAAACGGAATAGTCAATTTTTTATGTGGTATTGGCAGGGTGTAACGGTCGTGCGGACTAACAAAGCAAGAGAAAAGCACAATAATAATAATAATAATAATAATAATATCTTGAACTAACTCTAAAAACTACAGCAATCGGACTGGAAACATACCTCACAAAAAACCATGACCTACAAATAGTAAAACAACAAAACACTTCATCAACAAAGAGTCTGCTTAATATAACTGAAATCCTACCAACAAAAAACGAAGCGAATACAATCTACGCAAAACGTGTAAAACAAAGGAAATGCAAATTGGCCAAATGCGATTATAACCCCCCCCCAAAAAAAAAAAAAAACTGGGATGACAAGTTGTTGCATAGCAAATACACAAAAAGAACGGAAGAAGCAGATGTGGACAGAAAACACACAAGTGGGTGAGGAGTACCGGGCTGAATGTTGAGACAGACGGCCTAATTATTGCAGCTCAGGACCAAAGCCTCGCAATCAGATCCTATAACTGTAACATATTCAAGAATGGAACGGATCCGAAATGCAGGATCTGCATAAAATATGATGACACAGTCGATTATATTATCTCAGGATGAACTGACAAAAATGAATATCATCACAGACAATAGAAGATATCGATATAGGTGCACTAGAAGATATGTAAGAAGCACAAAATCGAAACTACTGAGAGATGGTATGAGCACCAACCAGACACAGTTAGACAAAATAACGATGTAACTATCCTCTGGGACATGCCAATTCAAACTGACAGGGAAATAAAAGCCAACAGACCTGATATTATCATAGTATCACCCGAGAAAATCACCTCCATGGAAATTATCGAGAAATTGCCCAAATAGATGGAGATCGAGATTAATAGTATTTCGGGAATGAAGACTGGGACTGTACCAATAGTAATCGGAGATCTGAGCCTCGTGAGAAAAGAAATGAACAATTTTACTAAAAGTGTCCCAGGTAACATCAAAATACAAGTTGCCCAGTAGATCGCCCCACTTGGAACATATCATTCACCAAGATAAGTGCTATCATTTAAATGACAATTCTCCTATAGTGCCTAAGGGCCATAGTTTGAACCCGGCTCTACAGGATACAAAGCAGGAAACATAACATACACAAATAATAATAATAATAATAATAATAATAATAATAATAGTAATCTGTTTTGAATATCATTCTTCGACTGGATGCCATGATGAATATGTTGGCCTTGAATATTTGTACCTAAGTGTCACTTTATTCACGTTGCTTTATCGCATATACTAAGAAAAGTGCTATCATTTAAATGACAATTCTCCTATAGGGCCTAAGGACCATAGTTTGAACCCGGTTCTACAGGATACAAAGTAGGAAACAACATACCCAAATACTATTACTACTACTACTACTACTACTACTACTACTAATAATAATAATAATATCAATAAATCAAGCAAATATGTGAATCAAATTCATGGTAGCCTTAAAATATGAGAATTGCAAAAAGTCACACTCATGTATGTATTTCTCACATCTCACATAGATTTCTCTCCATGTCGTGACTAGAATTCAATATATTTGATCTGTGATTGCGTCTTATTCCGTCTGTTTGTATCGTCTCATTAAAAAACAAAACAAAACTTGTTGTCTCTTGAAGTCTCTGGTTGAGATTTGGGTGTCGGGTAAGGGGTAACTTGCACTACACAAAGCAAAGACCCCTCGGTCGAAAGAGTATCAAATATAATATATCAATTGTAAGCAATCATGATCATGGCTCCTTCTCATATCTTGCGTAGATTTCTTTTCATACACTCACCACGATTACATCATGTGTTCTCTCTGATTGCTAGGGAGACGATGCCAGCGTGTGGCACTGTTACGAAGTGTCTGAAAACTACACTACAGTCTAACTCAAACATTGTGATTGAAATTGGGCGAACAATACTGTCCGTTAGGCGTCGATGCTCGGGCTAGCAACAAATTAAAAGTTATCGTATCGAACGTTTTGAACCTACTGGACTTGCTCAACTATTGATCACTTCGGATTATGCTCCATTCTCCCTGAAACACTAGCTAAAGTCTACAGTATAAACCATAAGTTGGATCAGTGGGTGTCGAAGAAGCCCAAATGTGTCTGAGAAGGCGCCTGTAATAGGGATTAGTTTACAACTATAGTTGAAGGTGAGGCACGGAATCTAGCAGCCAGAGATTACTTGACGTAAGGTTTATTATTGTAAAAACAATTAGCCTGTCCCTTCTTTGCGCACATTTTCAAATACGTGGATAGGCTGGCGTCTCAAATTGAGCATAGTTAACCCAACAGAGTGAATATGTTGCGTTCATGCCTTGTTGCTTTATAGCAGCGCCTGTCACAGGAAGTTAAACTTTGGTGGGAAACAGCAAAACAGCGATCATCATGCTAGATTATCGAAATCACCTACACGTATAGCAACTGCTTCAAATGTGCTTAAAAATGTAGAAATATAAGCGAAAGGATATACATATTTAAAATGTAAGTATATAAGCGACAGGATATATATATATATATATATATATATATAATTAATATAATTAATGGCGAAATCACTTCACTAACAGACTTAATAAGGTATTATGTTATTAACAATTCAATGAATGAAGCGATCTTTACGTTTAAAAATGTCAGATGGATTTGGTGTTGTAGCATAAGGATCGTGTCAATCAGTGAATTGTTAGTATGTTAATGCCTTATTAAGTCTGTTAGCGAAGTGATTTCACCATTAATTACATTAACATTACTAATTACTTTTTGTATGATTACCTTTTTTAATATATATATATATATATATATATATATATATATATATATATATATATATATATATATATATATTTACATGTATGTAATCATTTCCCTCCACTGAAGGCGGAAATGCCATTAGTACGCAGTGGGGTACAGTGAGTGAAAGTGAGAGAAAAGACTGGGTAAGGGGGGGTTAGACAAAAGATGAACAGGATTCAAGGAGAAAGAAGACGGCGATTGACGTTGCATTTAAATTTTTGAAGACTGTAGTTATCAGGGAAGCAAGTAAGCGGAAGGGAGTTCCACTTTCGGGAAGTGCGAGAAAAGAAACTGTTGGAGTAGAATTGGTTGTTACATTTAACTATTTCGACAATAAAATGGTGGGACCTAAATGCCAATCTAGTAGCACGCTTAAATTCATGTCGTCGGGGCAGCCGGGAAAAAATCTCGTCAGAGCAGTTGCCATGAAAATATTTGTAGAAAAGTTAGAGGGAAGCCATACCACGTCGGTGAGAAAGTGACTGAAGTTGAGATGCCAGGTCAGGATCGATTACATTGCAGATCCTTCTTTGGATTTTTGTCAAGAACCTCGAGATGTATAGCAAGAGCACAAGACCAGATATGGTATTCAATGAACGGACGAATGGTCAATTTGTAATTGTAGACACTGACGAGAAAGGTTTTCTGGTGCGATAAAGTGACCCAACACTTCTTTCTAAATCGATCAAGAAATGCTGCTGATTTGGTAGGAAATTAAATTGATACAAAAATCTGTCAAGGTCTGATTACCTTTATTTAGTTAGCCATTGAAAGGGATACGTATAAATCCTCGCAAGATGTCCTTCTTTGGACACAGCGGGTTTTTACAACAGCACAACAAATTGTTCACAAATGGGCCCGTTGAGATATTTTGACGGTTCAACTTCAATTTCATGAACGTGAATGTCGTAATGGCCAAAATATCTCACCTCTTTGAAGAGACGATAAGGAGTTATTGACTTCGGACGACATTAGTGTCACCGAGACAAGGGAACAATTTTATTCCCTTAAATTGGGTCGTAGTTAAAAGTTAAATCTTTCATTAGAGAAATCTTATTGCGGCTTTCAGGGTTAAATCTTTAATCTTTCGACTGGAAAACAATACTACCTTCCAAATACCATGGATTTTTATCATAAGGTTCTTAATATGACGTCATTTCCGAGTCCTTTAATTTATAAACATGTCACATAAGTATAGATGCTCAGTTCTTGTCTCAATGATACGAGAAACAACTGGAGAGCGACACAATAAAGTTGTTATTCATACATTTATTCATGAATTTATGGTAATGTTAATGTATGTTTTGTGCAATTATGTATAAATTTATGCAAATTTGTTCGCATATTTATTTACAGTTATTTAAAATTTGGTTCACGGGTGCCTGGTCTGTTTTGCATTATCCTTCATATATGTTACTATATCTGCAAAGTAATATATATATATATATATATATATATATATGATGGACTGTACTACTACTAGAACAAATAATAACAACTCTGTAAGAGAAAGCAAAGAAATATAACAATAATAATAACAAAAATAATCTGAACCTGTCATATTTACAATAATAATAATAATAATAATAATAATAATAATAATAATTAATCAAGAAAATATGTGAAGCAAATTCATGGTAGCCTTAAAATATGAGAATTACAAAAA